TTATTTTTAATGTGATGACCAAAGCATTATTTGTTCATCCTTGAAATACTGTCCCCATTTATAAAAGTAAAAGTTTCAAGATGTAGAAAAACCTACACTTGTTTAAAAAAAAAAAAAAAAACATTAAATTACCATTGTAATCAGTAGGTGACTCCAGAGAAGAGCTTATTGGCTTATTAGCTATTCCCACTCCCTAATATATATTTTTTTCCAGTCGTTTTGCTTTTGAATGAATATTTAGACATTATGAATGATAAAAATTAAAGTTTATTGGCTTATTAGCTATTCCCACTCCCTAATATATATATTTTCCCACTCGTTTTGCTTTTGAATGAATATTTAGACATTATGAATGATAAAAATTAATGTTAATTTTATCTACATTTCAACTCAAGCTCAGTGATTTATTGTCAGCCCAGCCCAGCCCAGCCCCCTCCCCTCCCCTCCTCTCCTCCGGTGCTGCTGCCCTCAAATGTTAGCCTGGAGCCCTGTTATGTGAAATTCATAATGTATGCTTTTGAAAGACCTTGCAGTAAACATATCAGTAAAATCAGCTATCAGTCATGGCACACTGACTGGGTGTGAGGGATCAAAACTCAACAGTGGCTTGGATCAACTCCAAAGTCATACCAGTTCTGGAGACACGTCGTCTTCTTGGCAAACACCCATCTCCCTCACTCATGCACACTGCCTCACATCTCTGTGATTGGCAACCTTAAATGGCCTTGAAATCTATATCTACGGGGTATAAATATTTCTATCCCTGCTCTTGATTCTAGCATTGTAAAGACTTGTACTTTGCCAAATAACTTATCTTGCACTGTGTAACTTCTTACCAGCATGTCTCTAAGGTGGGGATAATTAATCAAGATTCTAAATGAATTATTTTCCTTATTTGTGTTTTTTTTTAGCATAAATAGTGAAAATGACAAAGCATTAAATTCTGATTTGTTTTTTCAAGTCAAAATTTTAAACCCTACTGTCCACAAAGTTATTTTCCACACACTAAAATATGATATGTTTGTTCAGTCAGTGTGATATCTGGTTTAAGCATTAGTTGCTATAGCAATAATGTAGGTGTTAGCAAAATGCCAAGTGACTTTCTTCAGCAACAAATGAGAGTGACAAGCTATGAGTATGAAAAGAGCAGTGAAACTACTACTAACACAGCGATAAAGTGAACAGAAGTCATTCATTTCACATGAGTGATGTGGATATGTCCAGCGATCCGAAGTTGAAAAGTTTAACTTTAAACTTATTTCTTGTCAAAATTGTATTTCTAACTGCAACACATCTAATTTATGATCAGATTGTTTACATGCTGTTACCAACAGTACAGTGACTTTGTGACTTTCATAATTATGTGTGAACAAGGCATCTGAGGGGCAATTTACATGACACAGTTTTTAACTAAAAACGTTTAAAACAATTATGCATTTTGGCCACTCATTTACACTGAAAACACAAACTTTTGAAAACGTGTTTCAAAGTGCACGTTTTTGAAAATGATATTGTTATTGTTTGTTTGTAAACAACAAAAACGTGAATTTGAGAAAACTGTGACGTCATGCACATGCATATTACGTGTTTAGTCAATAGGCACGTAGTGTTTCTTTACAGTGACATCGCCAACTACTGGCCTGGCATGCATAATACAGTGTTTTTAGTCATTTTCATCCATCCTTGTGAACGGGGATTGTTTTGACAATGGTGTCGTCTGTACACGAAAAATGTAAAAGGAGAAACTTTTCAGTTTTTAGTACATTGTTGTCGAGTAAACGTGGCCTAAAACTGTCTGTTATCAGTTAGTTTTGGATGAAAAAACTCTTGACTGTGTGACTGGCTCTATGTTTGCTCTTGAACTCTGTTTCCATATCTAGTGTGTAAATGAGATTGCAATAATAATCAAATAGAATAACGTTTGCATTGCAATTCGTGAATAAAAAAGAAAGAAAGATAAAGATATGAATGTCTAAGACACAGGTTCTCAACTCTGTCCCTGAGGGTACGTTTACACGACAACGATATGCTTAAAACAGAAAAGTTTTTCCTTTGAGTTTTCCATGTACAGACACATTTCCATTGTCAAAATGATCCCCATTCACACGGATCCGCAAAAACGACTATAAACCCTGTATTCTGCTGCCAGGCCATTAGATGACGATGAAACACTATAGACTAACCCCATAATATGCATGTGCATGACGTAATTGTCTTCAGAGATTCGCGTTTTTGTTGTTTACAATGAGACCGTTTTCAAAAAATTGCACTTTGAAACCCGTTTCCGGGCACCCAAAACGCATAAAAAGTTTTATGTTTTTAGTTGAAAACGGTGTCGTATAAACAGCCCCTCAAGGTCCACTTTCCGGTAGAGCTTTGCTCCAACCCTAATCAAACACACCTGAACAAACTAATCAAGGTCTTCAGGATTGCTAGAAAGTTATAGGCAGATGAGTTTGATCAAGGTTAGCGCAAAAGCTAAAAGGACAGTGGACCTCGAAGGCCAAAGATTAAAACCCCTAGTCTAAGGGCCTGTTCACGCAGAACGCATCTTTTTGTCTCAGAAATGGTTAAAAAATGTGCAGCGCAGAATCTGAGAGTCTTAAAACGCGCATTTGAGATGTGGTGCAATAACAGAAATACTTGCCAACTTGCTACAAGCTCACAACGCTTGCCCCGCCTCCAGAGTCTTTTGATTAGTCCACTGTTTTGGAACTGACATTGATGAGCAGCCATATCACCCTGTAGCCCAAGACTGGTTGCCCACTGAAGCCAAGCAGGGCTGAGCCTGGTTAGTACCTGGATGGGAGACCTCCTGAGAAAACCAGGTTGCTGCTGGAAGAGGTATTAGTGAGGCCAGTAGGGGGCGCTCACCCTGTGGTCTGTGTGGGTCCTAACGCCCCAGTAAAGTGACGGGGACACTATACTGTCAAAGAGCACCTTCGGATGAGACGTTAAACTGAGGCCCTGACTCTCTGTGGTCATTAAAAATCCCAGGATGTCCTTTGAAAAAGAGTAGGGGTGTAACCCCGGCATCCTGGCCAAATTTGCCCCTTGGCCTCTGTCCATCATGGCCTCCTAATAATCCCCATATACTGATTGGCTTCATCACTGTCTCCTCTCCACCAGTAAGCTGTTGGGCGTTCTGGCGCAATATGGCTGCCGTCGCATCATCCAGGTGGATGCTGCACATTGGTGGCAGGGCTGCCAACTCTCACGCATTCACCGTGAGACTCACGCAATTGAGCCAATTCTCACGCTCTCACGCCACACCCCCGATTTCTCACGCTGAAGTGTCAACCCGGTCGGTCAAATGCCTGAAAGATAAGTTTATCTATAGATCTACCAGTTGAGCCATTCGTGATCGACTAGTTTCACCGCAAATTAGTTAAAATATCCTGTAATCTATAGCGAGCGAGCGAGCGTGCATGCGAGACAGATGTGTTGAGCTCTTAACGGCGCGCTCCTAACCGCGCACGCGCACGACGGCAGAGAGGTGATTAAGCGAGCTTGCGTGTCTTTCGCAACACAACCCAGTGGACAGTTACACTGTATTGAGACAGTTGAGAAATAATAATATTTTTACAGTTTTCAACAATAATTGTCATTGTTGAACCCTTGCTCTTATTATATTTCTGATTTCTCAGTTTTGTCATTATTTTAGCAAATCATTTATTTTATATGTTTTGAGACGGTTTGTTTTAAGAAGTTTTAAAGAGTTAGTAAAAGAGTAAAGTAAAAGTTAAAACTTTTTTATTTAAGTAGGCATCTATTTTTTATTAAGTAGGCCTATTTATTTTGTATTAATACATAACCTTACTGTATTCATTCATAATGTATCATTATTGTGTGACATTTGTGTCAATAATCGTCAAGCACAGGGGACTTTGCGTAGTGGGAGGGGCCCCCAAATCAAATTCTGCTTAGGGCCCCCAAAAGGCTCGGACCGGCTCTGGAGACCAGACAGACAGTGTGAGTTTTTTGTGACAATTGTGAGGGAAATACACAATTTATTCCCATAAACTGTGTAGTCAGCCGTTCTCCCTCCCATCTGCACCGTGTGAATTGTGAACGCAGGCAGGTGAGTGAGTTACAGGGCGCTCCTTGTCTCCATCCAGTTTAGGCTGGTAATAGGCCTGTTATATAGTTTATATAGAATTAAGTTAGCAATAGCAGAGTTGTTTGTTTTGCAGCACTGAGCAGTTATTTTACATAACTTTATCATAAAAACAGTACAAAAGCATTTCCAGATGACAAATATGGACATGCCTAGTAGTTAATGTTAATTATTGTTTTCTAAGAACAGAATGTCAATTAAAATGTTAAATGTAAAATTAAATGTAATGTAAATCTCCCAAGAAATTCTGTACAGATACCAAATACTTTGACAATCAATATATATTTAATACACTTCTGCTAATGCAAGGATTTTGTGTTTGTATTTTTCCCCACAACAAGCCACGCCCCTCAATAAGCCCCTCCCCCATAACCCAAGCCCCGCCCCCCAAAATCTCACTCTAAGCTGAACTCAAAAGTTGGCAGCCCTGTGGTGGTGGTTGAGGAGATTCCCCCTTCCATATAAAGCGCTTTGAGTACCCAGAAAAGAGCTATATAAATGTAACGAATTATTATTATTATGAGCGCCGCTGCGTGTAAAAGCGTCTTAAAAACACGGTGCTCGTGCGAGGCGCTGCAAAAGGTGCAAGCGCAACGGTCATATACGTGTTTACATAGAAAAACAATTGAAAATAAATAGCGCATTGGAATGGAAAAACACGTTCTGTGTAATCTAAGAGATAGGTTTCTCAGTTAATGTTCATTCATGTGGCTGCCTGACACGTGAGAGATCTGTTTGTGTGCGTATGAGTGACACTGCACGTGCAGGTGTTTGCAGCTCTGAAGGTAAATTTGCAGTTAGCAGTGATGTATGATGTATTGAATGGGGTCAGGAGAGTGGAATGAACAGTCTCAACATTAGCAAACAGTTTCTCATCACTCACCCTGCTACCCTTTAAGGGCAAACACGGACACGCTCCTCTGCAGTCCCGGCCCGCACACGGCTCCTGCAGATTTGACCCCTGAACACAAACAAAGATAGAGGGACAAGATTAAATCCTGTACAACTGTCAGAGTCATACGTCAATAAAATACCACAGCCATATAATTAATTATAAGCACCTATTACTTTTCATTATGTGTCTGAATGTGTGTAACACAGCAATAAGTTGTAGCGTAGTTTGTGGAAGAGACTGTTACACTAGGATTGATCTGTTTGTTTCCCTGCAGGGCAGTGAAGATCACCTGGACAGCAGAAAGTGGTACAGTATGTGATCCCACAGAGGAACAAAAGACAAATCCCTCTCTGGATTTTAGCCTCTGGTACAGAATACCAAAAAAAAAAAAAAAGAAGAAGGAAGACAGGGACTAGAGTCTATTGTGTTCATACTGGCCAAGACGATTAGTTACCCTATACATTCTAACCATTAAACCGAACCCCTATAGAGCGCTCGCACACACACAACCACACAAAGATACATATTAGCTCTATTGTCCCCTCATCTCATGCTGAGATCACATTCCAAAGTGTGCTTGTCCCACCCTTCCCAATCATTTATCTCTTTTCAGTGCTGTTTTTTTCTCTGAAAAAAAAAAAAAAAAAAAAAAAAACCTCATTCACACACAGTTTTTAAACAGACTCTTAACATTTCAAATGTATGCAACTGTTCAAATGTTTAGGGCTCTTACACTGCAAGGCTGCATTTATTTGATTAAAAATGCATTAATATTGTGAAATATTATTACAATTTAAAATAACATTTCTATTTGAATATATATTTAAAATGTAATTTATTCCATGCTACATTTTCAGAAGCCATTGCTCTAAAAGAACAGCTTTTATTTGAGATAGAAATCTTTTGTTTTAGATTGCTTTAGATCAATTTAAATGCATCCTTACTGATTTAAAAAAAAAATCGAATCGACATCATTGCACACAAAGCATTTATATTTACACATAGTATTACGTTAGTATTACTATCCAGTGTACTGGCTTGCTGGTCAGTAGTTATGGCTCAGGATTATGATTTTTGCTCATGTTTTCATCTGCCACAAGAGAAAAGCATTATATGCACACATAAATGTCAGGATCTACATAACAACATGCCCTTTCTTAACCTGTAGGACAAGCTCTGTGAAATCCAATCCCCTTCATTGAGCAGACATGTGAATAATGTGATTAATGAAAGCTGCACATACATATAAGGGTCCTTTAAGCGGCATGCCCCTGCTGGAGTTCAAAGGTCATTGGATAGCATTTCACTTTGATTAAAGGATGAAAAGGTGCAGACAAGAGGGGATAAGGGCCCCATGAGGTTTTGGACAGTGGGTACTTGGCCAAAGGGTCAGGGGTGTTCGGACAGCCATCTAGAAAAAAACCTCAAAGGTCTTAAACTGATAACCAAGCCCTTATTTACCAATCACAAAGGATATGTGTGTGTACAGCGTCTGTCTGTGTGAGTGTAGCTGATGTTAGGCCCCCTGTGGAACCTGTCTCCATATATAGAACGTCACATGACTCCACAAAGCCTGCAACTTTTCCAACTTGTGACTGCATTTTTCTGTGACATAGAGGTTTTGGCTTAGGCAAATAATGAAGCGATATAAAGAGAGTGAAAGCAAGGGTAAGAGAATTAGTACGGATTTAAAAAGAAAACCCTGGGATACAAGACAGGGAACCAGTAAAAAGTAGGTTAGAAAGCTGGGACTGCCCTGTACAGGCCTCAGCTCCCTTCTAGTGATCTCTTGTTTACCACTAATTGTTCTGACAGAAACAGGCCAGGAACTCTACAGAGGGATTCACATAGAAGTAGAGACTGACAGAGAGAGAAAAATATATCACTCAAATCCTGACTGTTGAAAAAAAATCTTATAAACCAAAGAATGAAAGACTTTGTAAAGACTGTACAAAACATGAAAGCCACATAAAAGCCAAAAAATACAACAATTAGTTTAACATTAACAATTAGTTAATGATTTACAAATTCCACAGAGACAATCTAAAAATTGTCCTCTAACTGGAGAAGTATCATTATAACCTCAAAGTCTGGTATACAGACCGCTAAATGACACAAAAGCAGGCGATCTGTGCAGATTTATGGGTCTTAAGTGGCACATATATGGCTCACAGTTAAGTGCCATATAATTATTCTGAACTAGCTGGCAGATTAAAGGGGACAGCAGGTGGCAACACAGAAAGGACAGAGGGTAATCCAACACCCCTCTCTCTGTCCCTACGGAAATCAGCCACCTTTGTCACCCTCTTTTCAGGTTGCTTAACCCACCTGGTGGAGAAGTGAAAACATAAGCCATATATGCATTTAGGTCCCTCTCCTGTAAGTTAAGCAAACATTCGCTACAAGGAGCAACAAGCCCCTCTCAATAGCACACCTTGACATTCCTCTGCAGCTTGTTCAGTGGAAGTGAATCAAGCTATTTGGAGCAGGACAAAGAGTGCAACTTAAGGAGAAATCTTTGAGCACACATTTCCAGACGCACACACACTCACACTGAAGGCAAAAGGACAGGATCCATTTACACACTTTTCACAAGAAACCAATGGTCTTGCCTTCCTCCTGACTGTTTTCCTCCAAAGCAACCTTTGCAAGCCTGACACACCTGATGTTTCTTTGTGCATGTTATTTTGTGTTTGTCTCAGCTTTAGCCCACTGTTTTATGCAAAACATCGCCCATAAACTCACAGCAAATTATATTAATTGTTTCATTTTCATTACATTTTAAAAGATTAATTTTTTTTATGTTTTATGCCTTGATTTGATTACCACCACTTTTGATAATAAATGTGTATTAAAGCATAAATCAACACAGAATTCCTGTAAAATATTAAATATAGGGCCCTATTATTGTAAAAAAAAAAAAAAAAAAAAAAAAGTCAAACTTTTATGATTTCAATTGATTAGACAATTTATTTTTGAATATTACAATTTTATTAAACCATTATAATGGAATCTGGAAAAATTCAAACAGAAAGCAGAATTTGGAATCAAATAAAACGTATATTTCATAGGGTAACTAACTTTTAATAGTTTCTATAGTTTTAATTTATGTAATAGTTTAAATAAATCTAAATAATTTAACCATTAAATCAGAGTCCAGCTGAAAAAATGGAATTTAAAAAAACAAAACAAAAATAAAAAACATTACATAGGGACCTAAAAAGCATCTTGACTGTCTCTGGCTTGTGAAATTGGGACTACTATGGTTGATGTTTGGTCATCCTTGAGTAACAACTTCATGCACAAAGACCTCAAAAGATCAAGATTAAGATTTACCGGGATATGCATACATGTACACTTGAGAAACACACACCTAGACACAGACCACACACAGACTCTCCGAGAGAGGTTAACCTCCAGTTTCCCCTCACGATTTAGAGATGTTAGCTCACATTCCCTCCATCGTCTGCTGTCATCAATCAATCCACCCATATCAGAGCATGACAGAACAGAAAACAAGACCCAAAAACACGGTAGAAAAAGGGAAAGGATGAAAGTGGGACGCACTTCTCACTTCGCACAGCATGGAGAATAGAACAAACAAAAAACAGTGGGACATGAAGTTGATGTACAAATGCTTCACCTATCTGTCCTCATCTGCCTTTACAAAAATACTAATTATTAGCATTTTGTTCCTGTTACACTTACAAATTCCAATGCATTGAATGTTTTTTTTTCTCCCTATAATAATATTCAAGATAAATCTTCAACCTATATATAAATTTCATTAAGTCATTTAAGGGTGTTCACAAAAGTGATTTTATCAGGGTTAACGGGTGATTTTAAACGCCACAAAACTGGGTTTATCCAATCAGATAACCAGAAATATGTTTTATAATGAAAAACATTGAATTATCTTGATTATTTCTTCTACATTTAAATAACATTTATTCTTTTGATATACAGTATATGAGTAATTTTTCAATTCTACTCTTTCAATATCATGTACACTGTCTGCCACACAAATATTTTGGGGTAAAATTAATTAATATATAATACTTTTATTTAGCAAAGATGACCAAAAGTGACAGCAAAGACTAACAGTGTTAGAAAAAATATATATTTCAACAAACGCTGTTCTTTTGATCTTTCTGTTCATCAAAGAATCGTGAAAAAAATCAATCACGGTTTCTACAAAAATATTAAGCAGCATAACAGCTTTAACACTGATAATAATAATAAGAAATGTTTCTTGAGCACGAAATCATCATATTAGAATGATTTCTGAAGCATCATGTGACACTTGAGTAATGGCTGATGAAAAAGTACTTTTGTCATCACAGGAATAAATTATATGAGAGAGACTTCTAAAACTTTTTTTTTAAATCTTGTGGACACCAAACTTTTGAACAGTAGTGCATATGTAATGAAAAGCGTTAAGATAACTTATATAGATAGATTTATAATAATAAATGAATGTAATAAAGAAGTACAAACTTAATTACAAACTGCAACAGGTCAGGAATTCACACAGACCACGAATGCAGTAAAACAAAAGGAGTGATCCAGGTTTATATTTGGTAGCAGATGAGGTGCTTGTGAAAGAGTGCGTAAACTGGAACTTTGTTTGGCAATTGTGGACATTTTAAACATACTGTTTGTGTACAAACGTCTAATCAAAATCTTAAAAGACCAGATTCACATCAGTAAAATATTAAACTACAAATGTCAACATCACAAATCCAGCTGCAAAATGTCGTCCTAACATCCGACAGGAAATGTCTCGCTTACAAAGTTTTGCAGTTCCCCAGATGAACATCAAGACAGTGTACAGACATCCTGGCACGCATAAGCTTTTGAGTTCCTTTATTTTATCCTTCACCTTTTATCTTTGTTTCCACAGTTTTCAAACAGACCCCCTACAAAACGGTTTCCAAACAGGCTGCGCTCCTACACTCCTTTATTAGGGTCTGCTGGTCATATGTGTCCATTCTCACAGCTGTGTTTAAACTCTCAGTACTTCACAGTTTACCACAGGCCAAACAACCCCATGTTCCTTTACTAAC